CGTTGGTCCGGTTGACTAAGTGATGCAAGCTCTTGAAATGATCTTAGGTAACAATTTTAAATAGTGAAACAATTTGACATTATACTTCTGTTGTGGCCTACCTTGTGAGTGTGTGACCTTTGCTTGAACACCCTTTGAGCCTTACAATTTTCTTGGAAGAAACTTGATGAAATTGTGACCTTTCTTTATCCCTTCATCCATAATCCTCATGAGATGTGGTTTGTTGGAATAGCCAACTTAGGCCAAAAGCCTAAGTTGGGGTGTGGTGAAAAGATAAGGTAAATCAAGAAGTGCAAAGAAGTCCCCTTTAATCCATGGTTGTGAAAAAGATGGAACCCCTCCATAAAAAAAGAGAAAAGAAAAGAAGAATGAAAAGAAAAAGAATGAAAAAGCTTTGAAATAAATTTGTGAAAGTGCAAGAGAAATGGGGTGTTCGGTATTCCATGGAAAGTGAATAATGGGGTGAATTTTGAACATGAATGAGAATGATGAATAAAAGGAAAGATAGCGTTGTTCATACCACATTTTATGAGGATAGCCTAAATGACCATATCTTTACACTCAGCCCCGTTACAAACCTTGAAAAGACCTTTTTGATCTTGAGTGAGCTGAAACAAGTGTTGATTGGAAAATAAGGGCAAACCTATGGGTGAATTCATACATGTGTTCATCTTTGTGAGTGTGAGAGTTGCATGTGATTCTGGAACTATAAATTGTTGAACCATTGTGTGTGAATATGGAATCATTCTTTGTGTGAGGACATTTGAGTACCTTTGTTGAGCTTAAACTTGCATTTGAAGCAAGTATTGTAAGCTTGATATTCTTTGATAATGGTGAGTCACAACTTGAATCTTTGAGTGCACAATTGATCCTTGCATAAGTAAATTGAGTCTTGTGTAGCACTGTTTGAGACATCCTTTTTGAACTGCTGAACTTGAGTTTACTTGAGGACAAGCAAAAGTTTAAGTTGGGGGTGTTGATGAGTCCAAGATTTGGACTCATTTAGGGGTTTATTTGATAGATTTAGTGTCCTCAAATGTTTATTTTGTGCCAATAATTGATGAAAAACCCTTGATTTCCAGGTATATGGATTGAGGAACAAAGCATGGACACTAATTTGCAAAAAGAACGAAGCGAGCAGAAAGAAGAAAGAAAAAAGAGCCTGGTGATCGCCAAGTCCATTTGGCGAGTCGCCAAGTGGCCATTAGACCGCCGAACGTTCTAGTGTGCCAAGCCCTGAAGGAGAAAATCAAGTTGGTGAGAAAAAAAGCAGTCGGCGGATTGCCGAGTGGTTCCGCGATGCAGTGTTGGATCGCCCAAAGTTACAGAACTTGAGGAAGCTGAAAGCCAAGGAAAAAAGGCAAGGACATTGACCAAAGGGAGGATTACCGAGCTGATCGGTGAGCCCGACTTACTGCGCCGAATGGTCTTTCGCAGCATATCTTTGGCGACTATAAATACATTTTTGAACCTTTAGTTTAGGAGTTTTTTTTGGAAACATCATATTATTCATTTGAGTAATTTTTCAGTTTTGAACTCTGAGTTTTGAGACAAATTTTCCTTAGCTTTGAAGAATTGAAGTTTTCCATTTTTGAGAAATTGGAAGTGGGTCTTTGAGATTCTTCAATTTGGACATTTGTAAAGACGAAATCAATCATACCCAGTTGATGGCACAAAATAAGCATTTGAGGAAACTGAATCTATCCAAATAAAGCCCTAAATGAGTCCAAATCTTGGACTCATCAGATATCCTTAAATTTTGATTATTAAACTCTTAAGTGTGTGATGATCAACTTCAATTTGCCTACCACGAACTGATGGGAATGCAATATTTGAGGTCACTAGTACGATTCTTCATCTCCTTCAAATGAGGGGACTCTATAGAGGGCTAGAACACGAAGACTCGCATGAGCATGTAAGAAATTTTACAGAGGTGTGCAGCCTGTTTTTATTCAAGAATGTGTCACAAGAGTCAATCCGGCTTAGGTTATTTCCACTATCTTTGATGGGGGAGGCTAACAAGTGGTTGACGGAGTTACCAAACAATTCCATCACATTATGGGAGGAGCTGATTATAGCATTTAATGCAAGATTCTTCCCCCCATCAAGGATGATGAAACTTAGAGATGACATTCAAGGTTTCAAGCAATGGGAGGGTGAACCCTTCCATGAAATGTGTGTGAGGTTTAAGAAACTCTTACTTAAATGCCCAACTCTTGGGCAACCAAACAATTTGCTACTCCAATATTTTTACGGAGTCTTGATTCGATTAATAAAAGAGTGGTTGATCAATTGGTACGAGGGGGAATAATACTGCAATCATTTGAGGTGGTTTCATTTCTTCTTGATGACATGACGAAAATAAATCAAGCTTGGTACACTTAGAAGGATCAAGTCTCTCCTTTTTGTTTTAGAATGACACAAGAACAACTTGATAAGGAAAGAGAAAGGGATGCGAACATCAAGAAAATGTTGACCCAAATGGAACTATTACAAGAGCATATGATGGAGAATGTGGGAAAGCCCAAAGGGAAAAGTGGAGTGTTTAGAGTTGAGGAGTGTTCTTCCTCAGGTTATTCAAAGCCGGGGGAGAATCAATGTTGGAACTCCAGAGATACGAGGAGGGTTTCCACCCATGTTATTTACAGCGATGTGGGAATCAAGGTTGGAACTATCACAAGGGGGAAAGAGAAAAGAAGATACTATCAAGACTGGGCTGAGCAAAGTGATTATTGGAAAATGGAGGATGACCATGAAGAGGACCACACTCACTCGAGTGAGATCCCAAAATCGAAAGGGAGTGCAAGTAGTCCCCGGGTGAATGATTTGCTGTCACGCATCCTTGATAAAGTTGAAGGTTCAAATGATTTATTGAAAGGGATGAAAGCTGACTTTTCATCATTGAACAATAAAGTGAACTCTTACGTAGATGCAATCAAGATACTTGAAGGTCAGTTGAGTTTACTTTCAGCATAATTGAAACCAAAAATCACAATGTAAGATGATGATAGAGGGCTGGTTGTGGTTACTCGTAGTGGAAAGGTAGCAATAAGCGATGTGACAAGAAATGAAGAAGCTCAAATGCATAAAGAAGACAAAGGTATGGAGGAAGAAGAGACACATATCCATCAAAGCATTTCCCAAAGACCACAAAAAGATGTGGAGAAACACAATCCAATCCCAAAAGTTATGCAACGTTTACCCAAAATATCTCCTCCATTTGCCCAACGTCTCAAGAAGAAGAATGAGGATGAGAAGTTCAAGTAGTTTTTATCGATGTTCAAGACATTATCAATTAATCTCCCTCTAGTGGAAGCATTGTTGGAGATTCCGAGTTATGCCAAATTTATGAAGGAGTTAGTCACAAAGAAAATGAGCTTGAATTTTGAGACAATCGAAGTTTCTCATAGTTGTAGTGCAATTATGACTAAGGAGATGATCTAAAAGAGAGAAGATCCCAGAGCGTTCACCATACTTTGCACCATCGGCATGCTCTAATTTGCTAAAGCCCTACGCAATTTGGGAGCAAGCATAAACCTAATGCCATATGCGATTTATAAACAACTTGGGTTGGGTGAACCGAAAGCCACATCAATGAGACTCGTGATGGCAGACCGATCAATTAAACATCATGTGGGGATACTCTATGACATCTTGGCAAAGGTTGACCGATTCATTTTCCCAGATGATTTTGTCATTCTCAATTGTGAAATAGATGCTGAAATTCCCATCATATTGGGAAGACCATTCTTGGCAACTGGGAGAGCGTTGGTGGATATTGAAAGCGGAGAACTGAAGTTTCGGGTGAACGAAGATGAAGTAACCTTTAATGTTTGTAAGTCAGTGAAACACCCAAGTGATCTTCGTGTGGTCTCCACTGTTGATGTTATTGATAAGGTGGTGGCTAGTGTGAGCCATTTGATGTGTATGAGTGAACCACTTGAAACTGTGCTTGCTAACTATGATGAATTCGAAATTCAAGGCTATGAAGAGGTAGTAGCTTCTCTTTCAGGCTTAGGGGGGGGTAATTCAAAGACTCCATTGAAGTTGGGCATTGATCTAAAAAGTCGAGAAAGTCCTCCCACAAAGACATCAACAGAAGAACCACTAACTCTGGAGTTAAAAGTACTTCCCTCCCATCTCCGATATGCTTTCTTGGGGGCAAATAACACCTTACCGGTGATAATTTTAGCTGACTTGCTTGAATGGCAAGTGAAATTGCTCCTTGAGGTGTTGAGAAGGCATATTAAAGCTATAGGTTGGACTATCGCTGACATAGTGGGCATTCATCCCGGTATTTGCACTAAAAAAATTCAGCTTGATAGTGATTGTAAGCTGACTGTTGAACATCAGCGGAGATTGACCCACTGATGGAAGAGGTGGTGAAAAAGGAAATAATAAAGTGGTTGGACGCAGGTGTGATCTACCCTATTGCGGATAGCAAATAGGTAAGTCCGGTACAATGTGTACCGAAAAAAGAGAGACATCACAGTAGTACCAAATGAAAAGAGGGAGCTTGTATCTATGAGACCGGTGATCGGATGGAGAGTATGCATGGATTATTGGTAGTTAAATTTGTAGTCTAAAAAGGATCACTTTCCCATGCCTTTCATGGATCAAATGCTTGATCGACTCTCAGAGAGAGGTTGGTATTGCTTTTTTGATGGGTATTTCGGTTATAACCAAATCTCTATTGCTCCGGAAGACCAAGAGAAAACCACCTTCACCTGCCCATATGGAACTTTTGCCTTCAAACGGATGCCATTCGGGTTATGTAATGCTCCGGCAACATTTCAACGTTGCATGTTATCTATTTTGCTGACATGGTGAAGGATTCAATGGAGGTATTCATAGATGATTTCTCGATTGTGGGTGACACTTTTGAAGCATGTTTAGCACACTTAGGAAAAGTTCTCCGAAGATGTGTGGAGATAAATTTGGTCATAAATTGGGAAAAATGCCACTTCATGGTTAAGGAAGGTATAGTTCTTAGTCACAAAATGTCGCAAAAGGGGTTGGAGGTTGATAAAGCAAAGATTAAAGTAATTGAGAAGTTACCACCACCAATTTCGGTGAAGGGTGTTCATAGTTTCTTGGGACATGCCAGTTTTAACCGGAGGTTCATCAAAGACTTCTCAAAGATTGCACATCCTCTATGCAAACTCTTGGAGAAGGAGGTGAAATTCCACTTTGATGATGCTTGCATGATAGCTTTCAAGTGCTTGAAAGAAAAATTGGTCTCCACCCCGGTTATCATTCGTCCCGATTGGTCAGAATCCTTTGAAGTAATATGTGATGCAAGCAGCACGACATTAGGTGTTGTATTGGGGCAAAATGCAACAAACTATTTCACCCCATTTACTATGCAAACAAAACTCTAAATAGTGTTCAATGTAACTATACAGTTACAGAACAAGAGTTACTTGCGGTAGTTTATGCGTTTGAGAAGTTCTGGGCATACTTGCTAGGTACTAAAGTAGTTGTTCACACTGATCATGCTGCACTGCGTTATCTGATGGCGAAGAAGGATGCCAAGCCAAGATTGATAAGGTGGGTTCTACTATTGCAAGAATTCGACTTTGAAGTCAAAGATAGGAAAGGTTGTGAAAATCAGGTGGCTGACCACTTACCGATGAAGAGGTATTCACGGTAACTCTCAAACAACCTCCTTGGTATGCTGATTTTGCCAATTATGTAGTGTGTGGATTAATGCAGAACGAACTAGACTTCTACCAACAAAAGAGGTTCTTGTTCGATGTTAAGAAGTACTTTTGGGATGAACCATATTTATTCAGAGAATGTGCAGACCATATCATTAGGAGATGTGTTCCAGAAGAAGAAGCCATCAAAATTCTCCATGCTTGTCAGGCTTCACCGGTTGGGGGTCATCATGGTGGTGTACATATAACTGCTAAAGTCCTCCAAAGTGGCTACTACTGGCCATCTCTCTAAAAAGATGCTCATGAGTTTGTTAAGAAGTGCACTCAATGTCAGAAACAAGGTGGAGTGTCCAAAATACACGAGCTACCTTTTACGCCCATTTTAGAAGTTGACCTATTTGATGTTTGGGGAATAGATTTCATGGGACCATTTGTGAGTTCGTTTGGTAATAAGTATATCTTGGTGGCCGTAGATTATGTTTGTAAATGGGTGGAAGCTGTTGCACTTCCAAACAATGAAGGTAAAAGTGTTGTTCAATTCCTGAAATGCTACATCTTTGCTAGATTTGGTACTCCTCGGGCTATTATTAGTGATAGGGGATCCCACTTTTGCAACAAGTGGTTCTCGGCCGCATTGAGTAAGTATGGAGTGAAACACAAAGTAGCAACTCTGTATCATCCCCAAATGAGCGACCAAGTTGAAGTGTCAAATTGGGAGATCAAAAGCATATTCGCCTAGACAGTGAATGCTAATATGACTGATTGGTCTCGAAAGCTTGATAACGCGCTATGGGGGAATCACACCGCATACAAAACACCAATCAGTATGTCTCCGTATCAGCTAGTTTTCGGTAAATCTTGCCATCTACCCGTTGAATTGGAACACAAAGCATTATGGGCATTGAAAGCTCTAAATCTGGACTGGACAAAGACTTCAAAAGAGAGAGTAGAGGAGTTAAATGAGTTGGACGAATTCAGGTTCAAGGCATACGAAAGTTCAGCCCTTTACAAGGAAAATATGAAGAAATGGCATGATTCTAAAATCCTTAAGAGGTAGTTCAGAGTGGGAGACTGGGTGTTACTATATAAATCTCGACTTAGACTCTTTTCGGGAAAGCTCAAGCCCAAATGGTTAGGACCGTTTAGAGTGACATGAGTGTTCGCAAATGGTGCCATCAAAGTTGAAGGTCAAAAAGGACCTGCATTCAAGGTGAATGGGCAACGCTTGAAGTTATACTTTGGCGAGTGTCAAGAGATTTCTCTGATTGAGGTGGTGTACCTGGAAGATGCTTGAGAGCATTTCTACGTCATGCCACGACGTTAATATGTGTTGATTTTACAGGTGCAAGATATTGTGCGAGAATAAGACGCTATTGGCGGATCACCGAATCGGTTCGGCGAGCACGACATAGTCCGCCTTATGAACTTCAAAAATGGATCTGAGATACTGGAACATTCGGTGGGAGACCTTTATCACTCGGTGAATCTACAATGTGCCCGATTTTTCCCGCTCTTCTACTCCAGTGCTGATAGCTTAAATCAATAATTGTTCGGTGATGTTACAAGCCCATTATGTGAAGCGCCAATCTGTTCGGTGACCTCCATCATCTCCATTGATTTGCCCCTTTTTTAGAGTGTCGCACACTGGAACTTAGGGAGATATCCGGACCATTGGACGCACCGCCGAGGTATTCGGTGACTGTTTCATTTTCTCACCAACTGGGCACTTAGTGAATATTCCTCATCACCTTGCTTTGCATGTTTACATACTAGAATTTTATCTCTATTTGTTAGTTTTTATTTTTATTCTTATTTTATTTGTGGGAGTGTCCGTTCTCTACTCACATTGGGGACAATGTTGAATGCTTTCGGTGGGGGTGTGTTCTTGGTCAGTGATTCCCTTGTGTGCTTGGACCTTTCTGAAAATGTTTTTTGTGTGTTTAATTATGGTTGTTCTTGTGCAAATTTGAGTATTGGTCATGATCAATACCGATGACTTGAATGGTGCTCTCAATCAACAAAATGAATGTGCGGCTACGATGAGGCCAAATAAAGTTGCATAGACAATATGTGAACTTTTTGCACCTCGTTGTGACTAGCTGATTATCAAAATGAGTGTCTTGTGATGAACATTGCACACTAGCGAAAGTGTGGAGTCTTGTTTGATATTGGTGTCAATGCCTTGTGTGATGAGCTTACCGTGAACCATATGTGATAACACCTAGAATTTCCCCCGTTGGTCCAGTTGACTAAGTGATGCAAGCTGTTGAAATGATCTTAGGCCAATTTTTTGAAGAGTGAACCAATTTGATATTATACCTCTTTTGTGGCCTACCTTGTGAGTGTGTGAACTTTGCTTGAACCCCCTTTGAGCCTTGTCCTTTTCCTAGAAGAAACTTGTGCAAATGAGACCTCGCTCTATCCCTTCACCTGTAATCCTCATGAAGTGTGGTTTGTTTGAATAGTCAACTTAGGCCAAAAACCTAAGTTGGGGGTGTGGTGAAAAGTGAAGGTAAATCAAGAAATGCAAAAGAAGTCCCCATTGAGCCATGGTTATGAGAAAGATGGAACCCTTCCATATAAAAAAAAAGAGAAAATAAATGAATAATAAAAAAGAAAAAGAATGAAAAAGTTGTGAAAGTTGCAAGAGATATGGGGTGTCTGGTCTTCCATGAGAAGTGAATAATGAGGTGACTTGTGAGCATGAGTGCAAATGTTGAAGATAAGGAAAGAAAGTGTTCATTCCACATTTCATGATGATAGCAGCCACTGAGCCTAAATGACCATACCTTTACACTCAGCCCCATTTCAAGCCTTGAAATGACCTTTTTGATCTTGAGTGAGCTGAAATGAAATGTTAAGTGGAAAATAAGGGCAAACCTATGGGTGAAGTCATTCATGTGTTCATCTTTGAGAGTGCAAGAGTTGCATGTGATTTCAGAACTTTAAATTGTTGAAGAATAGTGTGTGAATATGTAATCATCTTTGTGTGAGGGAATTTGAGTACCTATGTTGAGCTTGAACTCGCATTTGAAGCAAGTATAGTGAACTTGAGAATCTTTGAGAATGGTGAGTCACAACTTAGACCTTTGAGTGCACAATTGATCCTTGCATGAGTAAGTTGAGTCTTGTTGAGTGCATTCATGATTGAGTCTTGTGTAGCACTGTTTGAGACATCCCTTTTGAACTGCTGAACTTGAGTTTTACTTGAGGACAAACAAAAGTTTAAGTTGGGGGTGTTGATGAGTCCGAGATTTGGACTCATTTAGGGCTTTATTTATAATGATTTTGTGTCCTTAAATGCTTATTTTGTGCCAACAACTGATATAAAACCCTTGATCATTAGATATATGGATTGAGGAACAAAGCTAGGATAGAAATAGGCAACAGAGACAACACGAGCGAAAAAGAGAAGGGGAAAACAAGCCTAATGATCGTCAATGTCACTCGGAGACTCGCCAAGTTGCTACTCTACCGCCTAAAGTTATAGGACGCTGAGGCTGGATTTGGAGTAGATTCGGCAAGTAACAATTCCACTCGGCGTGACGCCAGTCGCATCGGTGATGGATGACCAGGTCGCCAAAAGTACTGATGGAAATCCAAATAAGTGTTGATGGGCGAGATGAAAGGAAAAAGGGCGCATCGCAGAATGAGACGGCGATTCGAATCTGGCTCGCCTAAAATTACAGTGGCGGGACTAAGAAGAGGTGAAAAATGAAGGCGAGACGAAGTAAAATCGGCAAGTCACCGAACGGTTGACGAAGCCCGACTTATCTCACCGATTGGTTCCAAACAGCCACACATCAAACTTGCATAAAATGATTTTTGTAAGAGAGAGAATTCATTCAGAAACGGGAGGAACAAAAGATTGAGAGTAAAAACACTACCATTGTGGATTTCAAGTGATTTTTAGCAAGGTTTTTCATTGGGATTTTGTAATAGAGAAGATTTTAGTTAATTTTAACTTTCGAATTTCATTTACTTAGCTATGGAAAATGTGGCAGGTATTGATTTTCATCTTTTCACCATGATTGGCTAAAACCCTAACCTTGGGGGTTTGACAATGCGACCAATTGTTGCATTCTACTAAATGGGTGTTATTGATTAGTGATTGTTGGTGTTAATCTGAAGCGGGTCTAAATTATTATGGTGGTTTAACTTCAGAGTTTTGTGCTTGCTCAAGAAAGAAGTACAAAACCAACGTAGTAATTTGGCATCCTTAGTAGTGGGTCTTGATGGTTTCAGCTTGAGAAAGTGAAACCTTAGACCCACCTTTTGTATCTAGCTCGAAAGAGTGGATTTGATGAGAACGTGGGGTGGTTAGCTTATGGATAGTGCTGAGGTTCGAAAGAACTCAACTAAAATAAGGCAATTATTCGATAGAAAATTATTTTACTTATAGTCCATTCTACCCGCGACGAATTAGCATTATCGGTAATGATGTACACCCATTAAGTAGAATTCGACAGTTGGTTAGTCAATCTCCTAAGTGTTTTCTAGTTATCTGATTGTTTCTTGTTAATAATTTGAAGTGGGATGATAACGACATCCTGAAATTTTGATTATTAAACTCTTAAGCGTGTGATGCTTAGCTGCAAAGGTCATCGTCATACTTTCGTATTTGAAATCAAAGAAAGCTACTATCTGTGGGATCGACCCCAAATCAGTTGGTTGAGTTATATACTAACTAATGACCGTTGTCACTTAGAATTGGATGAAGTGTCCTTGAAACGTTAATCACTTATCTCCCTCAACCTACTGAGCATGAGTCATGGGCCTAGAGATGTGCATATCTTCCAGTAACATAGCATTTCTGCACTCCGTTCTCACCAAGTCAGATACCCTAAAGAGAAATTCACTTATCTGAACCCTATAATCGGCAACCATATGTGGAGCATACCTGGAGAGCTGGGTGAACTTAAGTCCATACTCTTGGACCGACAAAGAACCTTGTCTCAAATTCATGAATTCATGAGCCTTAGCCTCTCTCAACCCTCTTAGAAAGAACCTATCGAGAAAAGCTCTGGTAAAACACTCATATGTGACAGGAGCTGCATTTTCATCCCTGTTGTCTTTCCACTGTGTACGCCATATGTGAGCCACATCCTTAAGCTGGTAGGATGCCAACTCTACCCTATCATTTCCTGTCACTTGCATCACTTCAAAGATTTTCTTAACCTCGTCAATGAAGTTCTGGGGATCCTCACCAACATGCGACCCTAGAAACACATGGGGGTTCATCCTAATAAAATCACGGACCGTAGCTGCCGCTGATCCACCATTAGCATTTGCAGGAACTGGAACCTGCTGAATGTTATGGTTGGCTACACTCTAGGCCAAAAGTTGAATGGCGTTCCGAAACTCTACATTCGAAACTTCATGATCTGGGACTAGAGGAGCTGCATTAGCGTTGCGGGCATTGGCATTCCTTGGGTAAGCTCTATGAGGAGGCATGATCTGAAAACGCATAACGTCGAGTTAGAAAAGAAGATCATACGCACGCACGATAAGAATATCAAGGAAATGATGTTTTTCCTAAAACACTTCGTTGCCTCCCCCTCATAGGTGTGGCTCGCTTCACACTCATGAAATGGACTCTACTTAGTTCGACTTTTCAGGCATCCTAGGACTCTTAAACCTGGCTCTGATACCAAGTTTGTCACGCCTCGAGGCTACCCCCAGGACGTGGACACGGGACCTAGGATCACGAGTGACCCCAAGCTAACCCTGTCGGCATAT